GGAATGGTCCGACCTGATGTGTCGGCCCATTCCCCTCGGCCGCTCCATTATGGGCCTGGCCGAACCCGTAATGGGCTTGCTAAAAAGAGGCCCTGTTAGTGCCCACAGAGCGGAAAGAGTTTTAAAAAAAAGTGCATAAAACCACCGAACTCTGGTAGTTAGTCGTGAGTTTGGGCATGGTCCGTTGGTCATGCCCAAACTCACGTGGAGTTTTCTGGCTTTTCTCCACGTTAGTAACTCCTAAATAGAGTCCAGCCTTTCATAAAAGTTTTCCTGAGATCCCCCATCCCCTTCGGCAGATCGCTCACTTGTCACATTGTCGTAACTGAATAAACCAAACTACGGTAATTCTAATGAGAGATTACTTACTGTGATATCTTCATAATGCCAGGTTTTAATTTTTCGTTACAATGTTCTCAATTCTTTTAGTGGTGTATTGCCCCTGTACATTGTACTTATAGCAATAGAGTCATGCCGGTTATCTAATTCCGTTCAGGGAAAAATTTTGTAACGTGATTTCCAAACCAGAAGTTCGTATATAGTTAATCCTGCCCCTAAGCTTTACATATCTGGTCTCGACCTTCATCTATCTCACTCCTTTCTCGAGATTAAAAAAGGACAGACAGACAAGGGAAGACAGTCGGAATTTATAGATCTACGTTTTTTTCAAATTGCAGCCCAATAAATAATGAAAGAAAAGATTGACAGTGTTTGTGAAAATATATTTGAAGAGCAACCATTTTAGCAACAAATTACAACTCACAAATATCACATTTATATATATAGGCTTGATCTCCCATGTTTGTGAATAATTAGGACAGAGAAACCTTTCATGAACATCGAATTCTCGAATATTGAGTTTTCTTTTCAATATTGAATTTGTAATTCTTTCCAAGAATATATGTATCACTGCTGGTTTTAAAAACTTTCAGAAAAATGAATGGTTTTATTAAATAAATATGCTGCATTGTACAATGGTTTATAATGCTGCAAAAGTTATTTTTATTTATTTCAGAAGAAAAAATAAATAAGCAAAACAGTAACGTAACTTATGACAGACACCATACCAATAAGTGAGTGCAATGACCTTTCAGCATTGCGCCTGCCGAACAACCAGTCGTGCGGGCTCCAACTCCAATTTACAGTACGTAATCTTTTATTTATATTTTAAATAAAAGATAAATAAATAAATAAATAATAATTAATCTTAGAAAGATGATATTTTGGTGCATAAATTTCTGAATGATTGAATTCCTAACGTCAACGAACATTAAGGATGCAGTTGGCTATAGTTCATATAAAGCTTATCAGAACATTAAACTTTAACTGTTTTACAGTATTGTCATTATTGTGAATATAAACGCCATTGCGTAACAGTCGGTGATAATGTTTTCGTTACCGACTCAAGTTGAGTTGTTTTATTTCGTGTCGAAAATGTCGAGACTGCCTTCTCTTAAAGAGAACAGGATATGTGACGTAAAGGTACCATGTGATCTCAGATTTATCGAGCGTTTGTGCTTTCTTACGTTTTGGAGACTTGGATCCTTAGTCCAGCGATTGTGTGAGCTGTACAATAGTTGAATTCGTTTAAAATTGAATGTGGTTATTCGTGAACCAATTCAAAAATTCAACATTCCTTACAGACCACTACATTTACACCGGAATAACTTTTCCGGTGTAAATGTAGTGGTCTGTAAGGAATGTTGAATTTTTGAATTGAATTTTTTAAAAATTCATATTGTCATCAGAAGTCACCACAGTAAATTCAGTTTAGAACTTCTAGAGCCGTTTTCAAGTATTATCGCCCAACCAAAATTCCCGAAAAGAACTGTACAATAGTATTCTATTGTTATTGCTGACAAATTACTCTTCCACAATTAACGCGGAAAATGAGGAACAAACGTTAATCGGACTCTTTTGAAATAATAAGTTTCCATTACGGAAGAAGTAGAAATAAAATAGAGTGAACAACAATTATCGAAATAATTTGCTAAATCATAGCCAGATAACCATCAATCCATCGTCGATGGTTTTCAAACTGCATAGCAGTACTCTGTAAGCACAGAGTAGTTCAGCAGTTTTGGAAAAGTATTACAATTCATCAACCAATAAGTTAACATATTTGAAGAACATCGTCGATACGCAACCAATTCATGTTATCAATCCAGTAATGAATCGGAAACATGGTTGCAAAGATTTTTCAGGAATAAGGTGAGTAACAGGTCTGGTTAAAGAGCACGTATGCAAACAATCGAAAATTAATAGAACTTTATAAAATATTTAAAATGCAATGTTTAGGAAAATATAGCAACAGAAAATTGAACTGGTGTATTTTCTACCTAATCTTTTATTCGCGTTTCTTCTTGACAATAGCGAATGAAGCGTCAATTGTTTTATAACAGCAGTAGTGTCATTCAGCTGTTTCCCGTCAGTTGTAAAAACATTGTTGTAATATATAGTTTATATAATTCATTTACAATTAGTTATTTCTCTGTCCCAGCATATAGCCTATATCTGTTAATTTATGTCAATAATAATCAACAAATATAGTCAAATATTAATTTTTACGAAAATTATGGAATAAAACCACCGATCACCAGTAGTTGGTCGTGGGTTCACGTCTCGCCAACGGACTGGCTACGTGGAGTTTTTCTGGTTTTCTTCACGTTAGTAACATCTAAGTAGGGGCCAGTTTCCTACAGAAAGTCCTCCCGAGAGGTATCTCCTTCGGCAGATCGCCAATGTGTCGCGTTGTCGTATACAGGCCCGCCGTAAGCGGGCGGCACGTCCAGGGGGGCGGCAAATCGAGCGATCGGTCAGGTAATTTTCAAAGTCATTGTCATAATACCCACCCTACTTATAGCATAAGAAATGTCTTCGCATGGAGAAAAAAATCCGACAGGCGCGCAATTACTATATTCTTATTTATATTATAGCGTTAACAGCGCCTCTATTGGTATTTATCAGAATTAAGAGGCAATGCGAAACGTCTGTCGGCAGGTTGAACCATCCGGCGGCGCCCGAAAGCCAAGTACCCATAGTCGTGCTCTATGACAGAAGTTGACAGGACTGGCGAAAATAGGGAATCCCCACAGAGCATCCTTCTCAATTTGTACTTGTATGCATTCGAATAGTTCTATCGCATATTAAATTGCAATTATTTTGTTAATAATTCTTCTGACATGGGTCTAAGTATAATTAATGATATTTTAACTTGGTTAGGATTTAAATCTGAAGCTTAAAGACGATTCGAGTAGTGAAACAGACATTGACGGTATTGATTTGTTTAATGAAATCAATACTTTAAAGTTGCATTTTCCAGAAAACCAGTCTAATGATCCACGAACCCTATTACAATCAGTGGTGTGCCGTAGGGGGCGGTAGGGGCGGTCCGCCCGGGCGGCACTTTTTAGGAGGCGGTAAAATTTCACAATAAAAAATAATAATATCTTGTAAAATTTTGAAACATCCTAATCTATACGCCTACGATAGTGCTATCGTCCGGACAGTCCGAGAATCGGCTCGCCGGGTGAACTAGTAACTTTTTCATCCGAGGAGTTCCTGCGAAACCTGCTGACTTTTTTTTTGTACGATTCATTCGCGTTCATGTTGTACGATTTATTCGCGTTCGTATATACCACTAATATCCAATAGAACTATTTTAAACAGGTCGCTGCACTACTACCGAATTTTTCATTGCTTGTTCTGTGACAAAACTGAATTTTGGTCTTTTAAATTGAAATACCTAAATAAGGGGGCCGAAATTTTCCTCCGCCCGGGCGGCTGACACCCACGGTACGCCACTGATTACAATATCTTTTTTACTAATGACTTAATTTCAACATTTTCGAACACAGCAATAGCACTAAGAATATTACTTACATTGCCGGTTTCAGTTGCATTTGGTGAAAGATGCTTTTCAAAGTTAAAAATTATAAAAAAAAAACTATTTAAGATCAACAATGCACCAGCAAAGACTAGTAATTTAGCTATAGTTTCAATTAAACATGAAATGTTAGACAGCTTTGGATACAAGAAAATTGATAGCAGATTTCGCATACATAAAGGAAAGAAGAGTTCAATTTCTGTGAATAAATATTTATATGGTTTTACACTTAAGTAAACAAAAATAACTTAGTAATAATAAATAGTTTTTCTTTGTAAAGTATTTCTTTTCTTTTTTCACACCGTTATGAGACAACACTAAAGAGTCTTTCTGGCAAGCTCAGCGTAGGTAGTCGTAGTTAAACAGGGGGCAAAATAATCGGGATTTCACACGGGCGTTCAAACAGCTAGCGGCGCCTCTGATCGTATACTAGTGGTTCTCAATCTTTTTGAAGTCGGGGAACACTAGACTGACATTTTTTTTTTCCGCGGAACACTTACAATACATCAGCTTTCAAGCAGGGGTGGCAAACCTTTTTGAAATCAAGCGCACTCGGTCTCGTAGATGAAGACATTGGCGTTTGCTAATTACATTCTCATACAAAAATTATTTTTGTATGGGAATGTAATTTACATCAAGGATACTCAGAAAAACGATCATATATCGTATTTTTCAAAAAGTAAGCTATGCATTTCGGGTGATTTTTATACAAATATTGTCATTCCTCTCCAATTGTATTGATTTTTTTTTTGCAACAATTTTCAATTGTATATTTGTTTTTTCGCGGAACACTTGAAGTGGATTCACGGAGCACCCGTGTTCCACGGATCACGGATTGAGAACCACGGCCACATACAAATAAACCTATCAGTTATATTGCACTCAAAATAGCAAAATTGAATATAAAATCAAACTCTTAGGCCATGGTCACATAACTATCATTGGATCTCCCAACGAATGTTACAGATTCTGTCTATTCAACACCAGTGTAACCAGAGTCTTGAGGACCTGGCGAAGATCAGCTTAGAATGTGATATATATTTGCTCGTATTGGTAGTAATGGACGCGTTGCCTAATAAAGCGGCTATACGAGGGTTGTCCCAGAAGTACCCGACCTGACATAGATGGCGGTACTTGTTTGAAAAAAAACGACTGTGTTCGAAAGTATCAACCTTAAAAAGCTTAAGTTTGAAGTTTGAAGACGTTACGTTGTATAGTATTTTTTTGGCAGCCATAAATAGTGAACAATCTCAGTGAATTTGTAAACATGGAAAAAATTTGTCATCGTTATGTGATACAATACTTTCATTTGAAAGGTTTCAGTCCAACCAATATTAAAGCTGAGCTAGATTCTACTCTGGGGGAGTCTGCTCCCTCGTTTACAACAATAAAATATTGGGTGGCAGAGTTTAAACGAGGCCGTACGAGCTGCCAAGACGAACATCGTAGTGGTCGACCAAGTGAGGTGACCATGCCAGAAATGGTGGAAAAAATCCACAAAATGGTATTGGATGACAGTCAACTCAAAGTGCGAGAGCTAGCAGACATGGTAGGCATTTCAAAAAGTGCTGTACATCGCATTTTAACTGAAAATTTGGACATGAGAAAGCTGTGCGCAAGATGGGTGCCGCGTTTGCTCACAATGGGACAAAAACAGCGTCGTGAGGATGTTTCAATCGAGTCTTTGGCAATGTTTCGCAGCAACAAAGCCGAGTTTTTGCGTCGATTCATAACCATGGATGAAACATGGGTCCATCACTTCACACCTGAGACGAAAGAACAGTCGAAACAATGGACTGAAAGGGGAGAATCAGCTCCAAAGAAGGCGAAAACAGTTCCATCTGCTGGCAAGGTCATGGCGTCAGTTTTTTGGGATGCGCCCAGGAAAAACAATCAACGGCAAGTATTATGCGAACTTATTGCAGCGCTTGAGTGATGAAATCAAGAAAAAACGGCCACATTTGGCGAAAAAGAAAGTGTTGTTTCATCAAGACAACGCACCAGTTCACACATCCGTTATTGCGATGGCCAAAATCAATGAGTTAAGGTTCAAATTGCTTCCTCACGCACCCTATTCGCCAGATTTAGCCCCCTCGGATTATTTTTTCTTTCCAAACTTAAAAAAATTGGCTAGGTGATAAAAGATTTGCCAACAATGAAGAGGTGGAGTCTGCGGTTGATGGCTATTTTGAGAAGCCCGACAATTCTCACTATAAACAGGGGATCGAAGCTATTGTACATTGCTGGAAAAAGTGTATCGAGCTAAAAGGAGACTATGTTGAAAAATAAAGATATGTTTTACCAAATTTTTTGTGTCTTCTTTGTTAGGTCGGGTACTTCTGGGACTACCCTCGTAATACAGCAGGATAAGCAAGCCAATGACATAAACCGTTTCATTTGATTGAATAAAAAAAAATTTGATTTTGTTTCCCCCATATCCGCCTTTTATAAGTGACATAGAACTTTCACCAAGAATACTCAGAACAGAAAATCGATAATTTATTTATTAATTCATATTAAAAATATCAATTTATTATCATACAAATTGATGGTGTACGAACAGAAAACTTTAAAAGAAATGAAAAAAGCCTGAAGAGGAGTGACAATACTTGTATAAAAATCACCCGAAATGCATAGCTTATTTTTTGAAAAATACGATATATAATCGTTTTTCTGAGTATCCTTGATGTTAAATTCATTGTCTATGATAAAAGGCGGATAAAGGGGAAAAAAACGAAATCAACATTTTAGATTTTTAGTTTCTTTGTTTTAAGCTTAAACCAACAATAGTATTAAATCCGTCGCATTGTATATTTTATAACGAACTATATCATTGGTTTGCTTACCTAGCCTTATTAATTAATTAAAGCCACTTTACCAGGCAACGCTCCCTATATGTAAGTCGCATACTTTTCAGGAATTTTTGCTTTTTCGATTAGCGAAACGGTTTTGAACGAATCAGAATGGATGGCGAAATGCACTAGACCAGTGTTTTTCAACCTTCTTGAATACGTGACTCCTTTACCAGTTAAAAAATTCTGGCGACCCCCAGGACCATATTAAAACTATATCAGTGATTTTAAAAACTATGTATTTAATTTTCTTTCTGTTGAGACCTAAATATCGATCGAAAAACCAATTGTACTGCAAAATAAACAGGCACAGCATTCTCACTGAAATTGTAGTTTTTTATTATTGTGGTGTAGGCCCTACAAACACTTGTCTTTTTCTTTTTCCCGCGGCCCCGTGTAAGGCTTTGCGACCCCCTGGGCGTCGCGACCCACGGATTAAAAAACACTGCACTAGACAATAAAGACATGTCTAGGGAATCAGGGAGAGAAATAAATTAATCCGTTGTCTAAATTGCACATAAATCGTACGTAGGCAGGACACAAATATTTTGTACATTCCATATATTGAAAATTAAACCTATTTCTATCGTTTTTAAGTTCTGTATGAAATGTTTACTGACCGTATTTAGTCCGGGAACATAGTTTGAGAGTATGAATAGCATCAGCGCTCCCAATCGACTGAATACTCGTTACTAAGTAGCTTATAACAATAACGTGATCAGGGAAATATTACGCTGTCAAAATATGGTAGGGATTTCAAAAATGTAAAAAATGATAATAATGAAAGCAATGGTAATAAAACTATAATTTTGTTTTATAACGATATGAATGTGAAATAAAAAGAAAGATAAAATATATGCGATGAATGTTGTGTACAGTGTCACGTAATTAACGAATAAGTTTCAACGCGCGAGAAAGAAATGGGAATTTAGGCGGTGTAATAAGGACGAAGGCAGTTTGGGTGTTTTACTTGGTGCAAATAGTCAGGAATTTTTGAAATGGAGAATATTATTGTGAAACTGAGGAGCGTGAGGAAAGTTTATCTGGTAAAAGTTCTTTTTGCCTCAGAGCGAGAAACCTTGGTTGGGAAGAACTATTGACTGCAATTGGTACAGAGATGGAGGAGAGCACAATTTGGCGTATAAATGAGTAAGTGAAGGATGATAATTGGAAAATATTAGAGGTAGGCTTGCGGATTGCGGGCAGAGAATTAGAGATTAATACGGCAAACTTACTGAGGCCATATCTCAGCGCTCGGGATCATTTCGGTCTTTCTTTGCAATCTGCCGTTTTCGGAGGATAAGATCTCAGGAATCAGAACCTTCACATGAACAGACAGTTTATAGGGAAATAAAGTGGGAGCTTTAAAATGGATTTATAAGGTTCCAGTGTATTATAAATGCTTTAATTTTTTTTAGTTATACAATAATAATTTTATTTAATAATATTGTATAGGTTCTTGGCATAAAAAATGAACATGGGAAATATTAAAGGATAGAAATACCAAAACAACAGATTCGTAAATAATGTTAAGATAAGTTTTAAATGTAGCCTATATATAATTTATTTATGGCCTTGTATTATGCATTGAAGAGAGGTGAGGATTAAATAAACCCGCACTCGAAATTCATTTATACCGTACTTTAAAATAGTGTTCAAAAAGGAAATGGGTTTGTATATAGTTGGACAAATAAAAATTGTCTTTGTATGAAATTCAAAAAAGTTATCAGCCCCCTCAAAATGAGGTTACCGCCATTAAAGGAAATACTCGTTTTTTATTATCAATGATTTGAAGGTGACAAAAATATACGGTGACGTCGTCGTTACGACGTTTCAATACTTCCGGGCGTGTCAAAGTGCTTACGTAACAAATCCGTAATTGTAGACTAGGAAATTGCGGTGATATGCCAGATTCAAATAGAATTAAGGATGACTCGGTCGCTTCTAAAGGCACGTTTGGAAGGACGAAACGGCGCGTTAGACGCGGTCGATCGTCGGTGCGAGAATATTTATCAAAATGGCCGCCTCAATATTCTTCTCCGGCCAAGTCTTCTCCCTCCAGAGAGTCGACTCCTACTTCTTCGTAATCTTTTTCTAAGGCGGCCAGATCCTCTCTAGCCTCGGAAAACTCTCCTTCTTCCATTCCCTCTCCCACGTACCAGTGAACGAACGCTCTCTTAGCATACATCAGGTCGAACTTGTGATCGAGTCGAGCCCAAGCTTCGGCTATGGCGGTAGTGTTAGATAACATGCACACCGCCCGTTGCACTTTGGCCAAATCTCCTCCGGGAACCACCGTGGGAGGTTGGTAGTTGATCCCTACCTGTGAAAAGAGAAACAAAATTTGCAAATTATTTCTTTTCCTCAACCGTATGCTTCGCTAATTACCGAAAACCACAAATTGCTATGTAAATAGGACCTCTATAGACTTGGTTGTCCAAGTCGATAGAGGACACTTTATGAAAGTGTGCACAAAAGTGCCTGCTAAACTGCAAAATGACGTGAAAACAATTGAAACGAATTGGCGTAATTCCGAAATATGGTCAATTATCGTTAAGTGTCTACCCGCAGTTATAACTAATTACTCATACGTGACCGAAAGACAATCCGTTCTTCATCGGAAGAGAACGAATCGTCTTTTCTTTCGGGAAAATGACAATCTACGCCAAGGCAAGGTCGGAGGAAAGAACGGAAAGAGTAGGGAAGGAACTCACCTTGAATCCGGTGGGACACCAATCGACGAATTGGATGGTTCTTTTGGTCTTGATGCTAGCGATGGCGGCATTGACGTCCTTGGGCACGACGTCTCCACGATACAGTAGGCAGCAGGCCATGTACTTACCATGCCGTGGGTCGCACTTCACCATTTGATTGGCTGGTTCGAAGCAGGCGTTGGTTATTTCGGACACCGTCAGTTGCTCGTGGTAGGCCTTCTCGGCCGAGATGACCGGGGCGTAGGTGGCCAGTGGAAAGTGGATCCTGAAAACATTTCAAGTGTTCTTTAGTCAGAGTGCTTTAAATCTCTTCATCTTGGCATGGTTTAGGGTCCGAGATCAGGTGGGACGTGAGTATTATTATTTTTTTTTATTTTTTGACAACGACGTACCTAATCATTCCTATCCTTACAGTTACCGAATTAGGTGGAGTTTACATTTCATACGACAAGTAAGAGTTGACAAATGATAACCGATAACATTCTAATAAAATAAAAGAACCAAGCATGAATGGAGAATAACGTCGAAAAATGTGTAAGTTGGTGAAGTTAGTTGATTAAAAATGTTATAAAAAAAGTATTCTTATTAACAGTATGTTATAGTGGGGAAGAAGCCACAGTTATCATGTTAATATCATTTACTGATTATGTTTTCTTGTATTATATAGTGTTAACTTTATACCAGAAAATCTGTGGTAACAGCATTAATTAATAATAGTTGTTATTGATTATTATATGGTGAAAGACAATTCTTTGCTTCATAAAGCACAGGGTTGTTAGAAATTAAGTTCTCTACTTAGAAAAGTGTTGTAAAGCTTTAAAATTGTATGAAATTGAAACAGCGGATACTTCAAACGGCGTGTTTGCCGTTTATTGAAAAAAAAATAGTAGGCCTATAGGTGATAGGTGGCTCTGTAGTAATATAAGTACACAGCAAAAGTAAGCGGGTTGCAAAAGAATTTATTTGTGATTTTTGCCTCCGAAGAGATCATTAAAGTAAGTATTGACTATTTCAGTTGTTTTCAAATTATGGTCCGTGGGAATCATAATTTGAAAACCACTAGTGCTCCGAGAACATGTGTCAGGTAATCCGCAGTATTTCTATATTCCCTTACAATCATTTTTCAAAACGGAATTCTATGCTCTTTCGCCGGAGTGGATCGATAATTTTGACAAACATTGGACTATTTCATTGTACTGAATTCTATGATTCACTAGCTTATAGATTAACAATAGATAGATAAATTAACCACGTTTATTTAATCCTTTATCTACTTCAAATCATGTTGAAAATCCAAAATTGAAATTCCCAGATAGTTGTTCCAGAGTAATTAGAGAAACTTACAATAGATGTTCTGGACATGGCTTGATTTATTGGTTATTTATTTTTTTTTATACATTCTTTGCAATTTTTTCAGCAAATGTGTATGGAAAAAAAATTTTCATTTTTTTATTTTTTCAAATACTTTCAATGAAATAAATTTAATTACAAGAGTTTTCTTGAAGTAATTAATTAAAATGAATTTAGAAGTTTAGACAAATGATGGTTTATCTTATAAATATCATTATTATAAACAAGTAAAGTAAACAATATACCTGTATTTGACTATGATAACTGTGAAGACTTCTTTTTCGATTTTTCGACATTTTTCATTAATACTCAGCTCTTATTTCCATCGAATAATACTTTCGGTTATTCTTGTTTTTCAAGTTTCACTTCCAACTACGGTGAAACGAAGTTGCAACGTGCTCCACCTTTTGATTGTCGTGTTGAGTAAAATGCAAACCCCGCCTATTCGGATGACATTATAATCGACTCTGTGATCGGTAACTTTTAAAAATAATATTTGCAGGAAGGGTGCCACGCTTCCATTTCCACCCACTTTATTGATCCGGCGGTTTGCATTTCGGTTCTGGGAGAAACCAAGCGACGCCGCTTTTCCTATTTTCGGATTTTCCTAAGTATTTTACCCTTCTTTTTCGGAATTTCAAGGGAAAAAGGATGAAATACTTATAAACCAAAAGATAGGACATCACTTTTAGTCAAAGTTGGTAAAAAAACGAATCGTTTAATACCACAAATCGTTAGCATTTGAAAAGGAATTTCCTATTTGGTGGTGTCTCTCATCCTTTCTTCCAATCAACGTTAGTTACAGAATAAAAATGTAATCCATATTGAAGTATTTTAACAATTAACTCATATCGGACATTGAACGAAAGAATACACTTAAATTCTCGTATAGTCATAAACAAGAATATACAAAAGTCGAAACAACAAACTAGAAGAATTGTAGAATCGAGTTCCGTAACATTGCAAATAAATTTATACGTAACGTAATGAATAAGAAATACTAACTATACACCGATGAATGCCAGGTGATAAGTGAAAGACACGGAGTTTACGTTAATGAATATTTAATAACTTGCTATAATAAAATTATTTTTACGAGTAACAAGGATGAAAAGTTTCAATGCTGCATCATAATGTCGTCTCGAAGGCATTTTAAACAGTAGAAAGGGTTGTGAATTTAATTCACAATGAATTCTATAAAAAAAAAATACACTAAGAAATCAAAATTTTAAATTGTTTTCTAATCAAGTGCGTTTTTGCATACTCATAGTGATAAACGGAGTATTAACACTTGGGCAGTTGGAGCTCGCAATTTTACTTTTTTAACGTAATGCTTTTCATTTTTGTCATTTCATAACTCAAATCGGGCGTTTAATTAGAATATATTTTGGTGTCCTTTGACGACTTGCCCTCATGCGGAGGCTCCATCTACAGATTTGATGTATTTTTGTAAAAGAAGTAATTTTTCATGGATATATATTATATTATCAGTTCCGACCCTTCATTAATTTTCGAGGACATATTCTTCATTATATTTAGTAGAAAATCTGTAAATGTTAGCTGCGACTTCTTGCGTTTTGAGAGTATATATAGGGTAAAACCGGATAAGATGCCTATAGTTTTTTAACGCATATAACTCGCTTAACTGTGGTTTCCAAAAGAAACAAATATATGATACATATACAGCCAAGGGTTATCTTTTAAGAAAAGTGAACAAAGTTAAATAAAAACTCGATGTAACAGAGTGGTGGCAACGAAATGGCACCTGTCCGTTTCAGGCATGTACCTCGGGAGAGTTGCCTAATGCTTAAGGGTGAGATGCCTGTTTTATTTAACATTTAATTTAACATTTTGTACTTTTTGTATTTTGCACACTAACCATACTCTGTAATATACCTTGTGCACGTTTCGTGCCCCCATGTTTTGAATATTCAGCATCGAATTCAATCGGCTTTACTTATCTCGCTTTTGTGACTTTATTATGTGATTATTATATACAATTTTTTTTATTTTGAGTACCTAACATTGAATTTAATCCAATAGATCGCTGTGCTAAATTACTAAGTCTTCTGCGAAGAGTACGATATGGAATGTTCCTTTGCTTGCTTGATAGTGAGGCTGACTATTAATTAATTGGTACTGTTTTACTGGAAGAACGAAGTTCTTTCAGTAAGACATTTTTTCTATTGGCACCAGTTTTCCTTTTTTTTGTATTCAGTAAACATCTAAAATTAATATATTTCATTAATTTCATAATAAAATATTTCAGAAAAGCATGCATCTCTCCCTTAAATCCACTAGACATCTCACCCAAACCATATGGGAGAGATGCTTATTTCTATATTTTAGACTTAAATTATTAGGAGGACCTCTGGATTCGACAACAACATGACCAACTAATCTCATTTTCACGTGAAACAGAAATATCACGTAAGCATATTCGAATCTCGGAACATTTCGTATAAACGTGAATGTCGCAAAAATGTTTATAGAGCGATGATAAACATAAGCTTATTTTTTACGGAAAAAATTAGCAAAACAACCATTTGGAAAATAATGAAACTCAAAACGTTAAGTGTGGTCACCATTAAAGTGACTAGTGACTTGTTCTACCGATTATTATTTGAATAAACAATCTCTAGTCGTCTCTCCCGACTAGGTATCTCACCCGGTTTTACCCTATATATTTTAAAAAGTAAACAGTCACTTAGTTCACACACTTGGCATTGATAAAATTCCGCAAATGAGATCTCAAATTAAACCGCACGATCTCTAGATGCGCAGAAATATATGAAAATTTGAATATATATTGAGTTGATCGAATTATTAATGATTTTAGCTATTTTCGATTTAGTATAAAATGGCCTCCGTAGTAAACTTTTTACAGACCAAAGTAATCGTTTGGCTCATTTAGAGATAGGAGAACTTTAAGAAAAGGCCAGGAGAAGTGAAATAAAAATGTAAAACTTTTTACGCAGAAGTTTTTCATGAAAATTTAGAATAAAAACTCATGAAAATATTTAAAACATGCTTCTAATATCATCGGATCCGTATGTTTCTTTCTTGCGAGAACTGCCAAAACAGAAGCTTACAATGTTCTTTCCCGAAGTACTGTACTCGGTTCGCTCCTCTCTCCTAAAGGTACAAAGTTAAGAGACGCGGAAAGTGAAGAGAAACACCATAATGTCTTTAAGAAAAATGAATCTGAGGAAGAAATGTATGAGGCACAAGAAGATGAGAATGGCAGAGATAGTGGAACGACTATAGTTAGAAAATAACGAATATAAACGAACATAGGAAAGATATTCGAAATACTTTGCACAATATTGCTAATAGTTGGATCATTTCGATGAATTTTCTGGTAGAGGAAATAAATATCGATCAAAACAAAGGAATTGATGTTAAAGTAAACATCACAAAAAAGCAAACATTTTCAATCTCTCGTTCATTACGAACAAAAGTATTTACACCGTCAGATATTGAAATAAATAGCTTTCACGTAGCGTTTTCCATTCTTCCGCATTTTTATATACCAGAATCTATCCAAACACTAAAAGCTATCCAAACACGACAGAACAGATATTAACCTCGACACAGAGCCCAAATGATCTTCGCAGTTTGCTAAATCAGGACTTTCTGGATTGTCCGAGAGTAGATATAGCGACGAATACGTCCTCACCTGGGATAAGGAACCAGATTGGTTTGAAACTCGGTCAGGTCGACGTTGAGGGCGCCGTCGAATCTCAGAGACGCGGTTATGGACGAAACGATTTGACCGATGAGACGATTGAGGTTAGTGTAGGTGGGACGCTCGATGTCGAGATTGCGTCGACAGATGTCGTAGATTGCCTCGTTGTCGACCATAAAGGCGCAGTCCGAATGTTCCAGAGTGGTGTGGGTGGTCAGGACGGAATTGTAGGGTTCCACCACGGCCGTCGAAACCTACGGAGGAAGGGAGTTAGAGGACTGTCTGGAAAGGAGGGGCCGAAATAAAAGGGATTTACTTGAGGCGCCGGATATATGGAAAATTCCAGTTTGGATTTTTTCCCGTAGTCCACCGAGAGTCTTTCCATCAACAGGGAGGTAAATCCGGACCCGGTACCACCTCCAAAGCTGTGGAAAATGAGAAATCCCTGAAGACCAGTGCATTGGTCTGCCAGTTTGCGAAGTCTGTCGAGTACCAAGTCGACTATCTCCTTGCCGATGGTGTAATGACCCCGGGCGTAGTTATTGGCGGCGTCTTCCTTTCCCGTTATCAACTGTTCGGGATGGAACAGTTGGCGGTAGGTCCCCGTTCGCACTTCGTCTGCAAGAGAAACCACGGGTGAAGAAAGAAAAGTACGGAAAGTGCCGGATCGGGAAGTCCGATCTCCGCCAATTCTTACCTACGACGGTGGGTTCCAGATCTACGAAGACGGCTCGCGGCACGTGCTTTCCCGCACCCGTTTCGCTGAAGAAAGTATTGAAGGAATCGTCGCCGCCTCCGATGGTCTTATCGCTGGGCATCTGACCGTCCGGTTGGATTCCATGTTCTAGACAGTAAAGCTCCCAACAGGCGTTTCCGATCTGGACGCCCGCTTGGCCGACGTGGATACTGATACACTCGCGCTGCACCGAGAAGAAGAAAAAAATTTACAACGAAAGGAACTCGCGAGTGCGTAGTTAAAATTCGGATTCTAAAATACTTGATATCCCTAATCTCGATCTATTCGATATATTTTTTTCACCCAAATTAATCTCGCGTTTTTTATCGGAGTGAATCGAAAGTGGAGAATGAAAATTCAATCCATAAACACGCCAACATTCTCAGACGCCATTTTTATCGGACGGGTGGCCGACAGACGACGTATATTTCGACTTTCCATATTCCGGTTTTCGTATGTGGGCACATTCTATGTGGAAAACGACAAGTTTTAGGTAGTGCCCGTCGTCAATCCCCGCTCCAGCGATGTCGCCAGATCTGACACTGTACTTGTTTGTTTATTTATTTCCTTTACGACTAAAGAAACTCTTACTTTAAATTTTATATTGTTCAGAAATAACTTGAATCGGTCAAAAGTTACTTTGAACACAATCCGTTATTATTCGTCGATTGCTTCCGACTTCCGATTGTATGGACTAATGGAGACTTGGCGCACACCTATTTTTTCCAATTTTCTGTATCCATATCATAAAGCCAAGACTCCATTAGCGTAAAACCTGAGCGTAATAATAATTATTTTTAATCGCGTGACCATCATATTTTACCTCGAAGCAGGACATAAAACAAGCGTAAAGCGAGTTGAACAGTTCAAATTTCGACGTGACTACCTCTGTAATATGGCACCATCAACCACTCAGAAGTCAGTGGATTTTTACGTCATCGTGATGGTCACGTTATTAAAAATAATTACAGCCAGTGTTTTTACGCTGGTTTTACGCTAACGGAGTTTCGGCCTAAAAGTTTGATAGATCCAAACTGTTTCTTGTGGAATACGGTTCGGCCAAACGGGGTACCATACGGAGATACGGAGTTTATAACCACACTATACTGATACGGAGTTCCCATCCCCAAATTCTTGTTTGTTGGTCTGGAATTTGAAAAAATTGTAAACATATAAATTCCCGCTGTCGTCCATCTGCCTGACTGTCTATCCTTCCTCAATATCGAGAACGGAGTTAGATAGATGAAAGACGAGACCGGATATGGAAAGCTTAGGGACATGAGGCCTCGATTAACTGTATATGAAGTTCCGATGCAAACCGAAACTCACATTATTTCAATTCAAAAATATTTAACTCATTTCATTTCCTTTTAGCAACAGAGTCGTGCTGATCAGCACGACTCTGCTGATCAGCACTTTCCTGTTGAATCAGATATTTTTCCTGTTAGCAACGTGCTGATCAGCACGNGATGCAAACCGAAACTCACATTATTTCAATTCAAAAATATTTAACTCATTTCATTTCCTTTTAGCAACAGAGTCGTGCTGATCAGCACGACTCTGCTGATCAGCACTTTCCTGTTGAATCAGATATTTTTCCTGTTAGCAACGTGCTGATCAGCACGACTCTGCTGATCAGCACGTTGCTAACAGGAAAAATATGATGTACAGGGGCAAGACACTACTGATTTGATGTAGAGAGCATATATTTTAAATTAAATAAATAAAAAATATGATGAAAAACTTCAGCCCGTCATTGTCATGATGTTCGTTTAAATATTATACTTTAATAGAAACGCTGTACTAAATACTTATTGGAAGCTTTCTGGTTGTTGAAACTTTTAATACGAAAGAATAATGACAATATTAAAAACGTAAAAACACGTAAACAGATAATAAAAATTTCTCTGTACTCGCCATGTCTAATCACCAGGAACAAACTATTCTCCACAGCAGGACGACTTTACTTTAGAGGCTACGCCTCTGCCAAATTATGCAAAACAATCTAAAACATGGCGAGTAAAGAAGATATTTTTATTATCTGTTTACGTGTTTTTACGTTTTTAATACTGTATTTCCGCCAGACTTATTTTACAAAGAATAATGACAATAATTTAACCTTTAAAGATATAGATTACAAATAAAGATATACCGGCTGAAAGACAGATATACCGGCATATAGGCTAACACAGTGTTTTTCAACTTGTGGGTCGCGACCCCCAGTGGGGGTCGCGGGTAAAAGAAAAAGACAAGTGTCTGTAGGTCCTACACTACATTAAAAAACTACAATTTCAGCGAGAAGGCTGTACCTGTTTATTTTACAGTACAATTTTTTGATCGATATGTAGGTCTCAACCATGGGTGTAGCCAGGGAGGGGCGTGGGTGGGTACGGCCCACTCCAGAAAATCATAGCCGTAAAAGTGTTGAGTTGAATTTCAGAAAGAAATAGAAAAAGTAGAAAAGTAGAAGCTGAAAATTCTGATCCTAAAAAAAAGGTGAACAGCACCCTGTGCCCAATGTTATAATTAAAGGAAGTTTCATACTTTATGTGTTAAGTTATTATCGATCCTTCCGAAATGTTCATTTTAATCAACAATAATTTGTCTCAACAGAAAGATAATTAAATACATAGTTTTTAAAATCACTGACATAGTTTTAATATGGCCCTAGGGGGGTCGCCAGAATTTTTTAACCTGTAAAGGAGTCTTGTATTCAAGAAGGTTGAAAAACACTGGGCTAACATATTAACTCTAGGAATTACTTAGTAGAATGCCATCAGACTCTTCTGTGAAAAATCATTAAATTTGTTTTCCTTTTTTATTGGCCTATCTGTAAATTAGCTCGTATTGCAGGAAATACGAATGAATTAACATATGGCACTATAGATCTGTTTTATAGAAATGTTTGATTTTCATATCGGAGCGCAGTTCAAGCCCGACACGAGCATGGGGGTGTCTAAAAATTGACGACAAACAGTGACGGATTACGTAGTTAAATAGACTTAAAATTAGCGACGTCGTATTTAAATGATGCTTTATTTGTGTTTAACATATACTTTAGAAATAATGTGCAATAAAGTTACTTACATATTGTACTGTACTAGACGAAACTTTAATACAGAACTAGGCTTATATGTTTTTCTGTTGTCTCTCGTGATAGTTCGTAATAAGTATCTAGAGCGAAAATTTAATTCATAATAAAAAATCGAAAAACGTTTTAAAATAGACCTTGGCCAATTTTTGAGTATTCCACATTGCAGCGCCTCAGTAATTCACTTAAAGAAGGTTAACTCCGTGGCAAAAATTATAAAATATCCATCGGGATTGAATGAAAATGAATGAAATGAATGAAAATGAAAAATGAAATCCATCGGGATTAGCTAATTCCATTCGGTTCAAACAGAGAAGTTTATCGAGTGCGAAGACTTGGTGGGAATTAACTTCTTTCGAATAAATACAGTACACACCAACCAATGCCACTTAGCACTTCCTTTTTCCAACCATCGGAGATATAAGCCTTAACTTAATGTAAAGTTTCTATACGTCGTTTATTTTAAACTAGCTAAACTGTCCTTTATCGAAAGGAGAAGGAACGAAATGCGTCCTTCTTATTCATATTTTAATGGCCGTATATCGTAATGTTAGTAATGGATTTTCTCAAGGGCGTATGCCTATCCTTATATATCAATCCGCATCCTTCCCCATAAGCCATGGCTTAGCATTAAACATTTTAAACTCTAAATTACACTAAAATATGCAAATATTTATAATTTTGCCATTATTGCGAAAACTGCGAAAACTGATTTTTAAATCGAAAGCTAAAATGTATAAACAAAATGCAAGTTATTAAGTAAAAAGGCATTCGATTATACTGTTTTCAGATGGGATGGGGTCGAATGAAATTTGGAGAGTTTAATCACTTTTCGGTTTTAAATATTCTTTAATTCGGCCAAAGAATTCTGGCAACGCTTCCATTTTCTTTCCTATAAGCGCAGTAAAGAAACGACGGACGCCTTCTAGCGGCGCTGGTCGATCCTACCCACCGTGTTCCAAATACCGTAGTTATCGATCGATTCGATTGGACTCCTTCCCGGAAACCCGCGTCCCCTTCCAATTCTAAAAATAGCCGTTTGTTTGTTGTCCTATTATCGAGAGCGGTAAATATCGACCGAGAAAGGTGCTCATGTAGCGTTTCTCCAACTTCTTTACCGGTCATCCCCGGTTTCACGTAAAAATTTGGAAACGACCGCAATTATTTTTTAAAGTAGGCCTACTTTTTAATCGTAAATATCCAATAGCGCGTTGCGTGAGCGTGATTGGCTTCACTTCCTTTTTTAATATCCTACTTCATTCTTTTCCGAAATATTGTGGCAGCCTATCGTTCACGCCCGACGCTTTCCGCACGGTGTTTCCTCTTTTCGCCGACTTCGTCGATAAGAAGTTTCGAAAAATGCAAACTAGAAATTATTTTGGCCCTTCGGTGCCGAGAGGACAACTGAATTTTTCGACGACGGCGGTCTGTTCCCATCGATTTTTCACTCGTCCCAGCCAAAGCGGCATTTCATTTTGTAAGAAAGAGAGGGAAGGAGAACTTCGTCCTTCGGGCCCGACTTTTCAGGGAGTCTTTCGGGAAGTTTACATCCGCTCTATTAAACCGAGGCTTTCGTTTATCGTCGCATTTCCTCCAATCGGTTACGCCTAGAAAAGGTGGAGCGCGTTCGTCGAATATTTCTCCGACATTCTCCTTCTCCACTTCCGAATTCCTCAATTTAACGCCTTGGACGACCACCGGATGGAAAACGGTTAGAAAATTGCCGATGCTCTTTCCAATTTTACGTAATGCTTCCCCGTCCGCCCATTTCAACGTACACTTTTCTCTTCCTCTTTAAGTTTAAACCACGTTCGGCTTTTCCGGACGGGTGCAGAACTTTCGTCCATGAAACTTCGCACGGAAGTCGGTGGAACGGCCAAAACCCAGGCGGCCGCCGACCGATCGATTAATTACGGGAAGGAGATCGATTCCGGGTCCGGGTGCCGGACGAAAATTTTGTAATTGGAAGGTGAGAAAACGGAGTTTCTCGGGATACATTTCGTTCTCTTCTCCTCGAAAGTCCGAGAGACATGGGGCCCGAAGGGAAACCGGCGCCCGCGGGAAGGCCGCGTTGAGGTGAAAGGGAGGGGATTCTTACCATTTCGACGTGGAAGGAGCTCACCGAAGGGACTTCGAGGTGTCTGCGGCGAGAAAAGTGCGGCGGCGACGGAGGGGAGAGCGTATAAAGGAGAGAGAGGGCCCCCCATTGGTCGACGGAGTCGCCTCCGGCCATTGGTCGACGGGGGAATTCCGCGCGCCCCGTCCGACGCCCGACAGGCGGCTCTAGCCGTCCGGAGCGTGACGCGACGGTCCGTTCTCGCGGACGGCGCGCGGCTCCCCGGCAACCGAAATCGAAGGTGCGCAAATACAAACAAACAAAAGGAAAGAGGTCGATCTCGGCGGTCGACCGCCATTTTTCCCCCAACCTGTCTTACGGAGTTTTGGAGGAACGGGAATGACGGATGAAGTTGGAGCTCACTTCGCGGGCTACTCCGTCGGACGGAAAACGGAAGGTGGTCCGTCGTCGAAAAGGTTTCGGCCGTCCGTTCGACTCCGTCAGAATCGCGCGCCCACCCAATCGGGGTGAAGCACCGGCCAATTTTTTTTACTGGTGTGGAAAAACCCGAATGGATATCGTTTGTTTTCTTTGTTCCGTATTACGGCGTTTTCGTTGACGTCCGAGTAATTTCTTACGATGAGTGCCGTCGGCAGTCATTCCGCTCGGTTTCTCGCGTAGAATATCGGAAAAAGTCGAAATAATTCTTTGTCCTCTTCCCGGTTCTGATTCCCATTTTTCGTTCCTTTCTCTGTTTTTCACGGCCCAAGTGGCTCTCGTTCGAAAACCCGGAACCGGAATCGAAAATCTTTTATGCCATAGAGAGAGAGGACGCTACTTTCCGGAAAGAAATCCGAGTAGATCGATCTATTTTCGGCCACCGTCTCCGTCAGTTCCGATGGACTCGAACGTCCGGAAAGTCTTTCTACTCGCGAACTTCAGTTCCGGGTTTACCGTTCCTACGTCTCGTCAATTTTTCTCAACTATTTTTTTGCGCTTTTTGTCCTTCCGACGCGAATCCGAAGTTTTGTCGGGTATTTACACCTTCTCTTCGTCCGGTTTTTACAGACCATCGTTAATCGTCGAACCCACGGCGTCAATTTAGTTCGCCAATTGTTGACTATTAGACTCTCCAAAGAAAAATCCTTCCGGAACGAAAACTGGCCGAAGCCACTTAGACTTAAGGACGTTTGACGAAATGTTAAGGGAAAATTGGATTTTAGTTTAATTAGAAACTGTTATTCTTTTGGATTATGGTGAAAAAAGCACTATTTACTCTAATCGGTAAATAAAATTCCTGTTTAATGTTTCGTTCCAAGTCTCGAACAAAATCACCCCAAAGAGTGAACGTTCGACGTCTATTCCCCATTCAAATGTTGTCTTTATTCGGTTAATGTCGATGTGTGAAAATCAAAATTTTAAGAGGAAAAGAAGGAAGAAAGAAGAAAAGAAGGCAAATCCTATCTTCATCTTTTACGTTCCGAATTAAAGTCCGCTCGCGGTTCACCCGTCAGAAGTAACGGGCTGGCGGTTGGCTTTCCCTCTTGCGTCGAGTACTAAAGCGCTACGTTATTGAGGCGTGGCGACATAATGTTAAGGTGTACTTCGCACGAGTGGACGTTCCGTAAGGCCAACCGCCGTATCTTTCCCATCGCAACGTACGAAAGAAAGCGGTTTTAGACGGAGAAAGGATTAAGGGTCGCCATCGCGTAACTTTTCCTATCGCCGATCTGAGGAAATTGTTCTCTGTGCCAATTAAACATAAAGGCGTATAGAGGAAGCGAAACGGAGATTTTTCTTTATTTTATTCTTTCAATTTCCTCCCGAAGGCTTAGTCTTAATTATTTTTGACAATACCAAACTTCCCATTGCTATTGTGCTTATGTGGCATATTCGAAGATATACCGTGCGTAAATGACTGTAGTATATTCTATTAGTCTCGGAAACTATTTGTACGAGGAAAGTATAAACTGTAATAGAATATTAAAACTTACGGTACAACTTGTGTCCATAACAAATATTTAGGTGTGCAATTAAGTCGAGATAGGAGAGATAATGGAGCGATAGGCTGTAACGCGCTAATGAATGTTCGAATATGCGACTTAACCCTCCCGTTACTATGCTATATCGAAACTTTTGTATTACAGATAGTACTTAAGACTAGACTCCTTTTTTATCATCGTGAGGTCGCTTGCTTTCTAATTTCGAAAGCGGGAGGAAAGTTCTGTCCTAGACTGTCTCACGCCTCCATTCACCAACGGGATAAGCGCCCGATCATTTTCGGTGGTAACGATCGAGTTCATTTTTGATTTCCACCGAACTAACGAAGATGGAAAGATCTTCGTTAAAGGAAGTTCTCTGGAAAGATGAAAAGCCTCTTATTTCTTTCTCTAATTATTGTATTTTTCGCCGAGTTCGGCCATATCTACGATGGCGCTGCCGGGTGACGAGGAAGGGACCCGACGTATCCGGAGGGATCATTTCCGAATAATTCCTGTGTTTCGACCCTCCCGGATTCGCTCTCGGGTCTTCCAGAGCGGTAAGCTGCTGGGGTCGGATGTCAGAGCTATTTAATATGGCAAAGCATATCGGAATCACAGTATCGTATCAGTGTGGACGGCACCCGTCGCACGTTTCCTATCACGTTTCCCTATCAAAATATTGATACACTGATACCCAATAAATGTCATCGCTAGCTCATCAGTCTTTTTCCATCGCATCAAACGCTAGATTCGTTATTGAAGCGGTCTGGACGCACACTTTTTTTTATCAGTTCTTCGCGTCTCGGTTTCACGCTGGAATGCATAGGCTATGCGCCGCAAGTTAGTGTTTTTGTACGTGTTTAAATGGAAGTCCACCCAACGGATTCTACCCTCCGTAAACTTCCGTATTGGCTAGACTTACGGCATTTACAAGTGCCACAACTTCTTTCTTTTAAGATTCTAATGAAATCAGATGTATACCGGCAGCTGCTAACTTCGTGGATGTGGTCGTTGTTGCTCAAAACTACGAGTCCAAACTACAACTTCTTCCCTTTCCCGAGACGTGATACAGAAGGACAAGCCGCATTGAATGGTAGCGTATCACTAGATCGATACGCTACAGTTATGCGATACGAGGATACGCAACAAGTCTGGAGTCACTTAACATCACGTTTCCTATAACGTCCAGGTAACGAAGGATCTTCTCTTTCTCCTAGGAATCCATTATCTTCCGGTTTGATTTATTGGTGGAATTTCCGGATTAGCGTAGTAATTTTCTCTGTTTGTTTTCCTTCGACGCTTCCATCAAAATTATCTGCATGGATCGAGAGCCAGCCGATCATCGACGGATAGATTACTTCAAACGGTTGTCTGTCCAGGGAAGGCGGAAAATATTGGGAACGACGGCAGATCGGAAGTGTTCGACGAAAGTCAATGATCACAAATTACAATAAAGTGTATTGTTTAAATATTATCTGGACTGACGATTTCTTAAGAAAGGCTGAAAAACATCTCTAACGCTTTAGAACCTTTCTGTTGGGGTATGCGCTACACGTTGACGCTCTCGCTAACTACCAACTCGCACAAGTCTGTAAATGTTTAGATTAGATGACAGGTCGTCTTGGAGAGGGTACAGACGGCGGTCCTCCTCCTCGGGAATCTCGGTTACGACGGATGGGAAATTTTTGCGGGTTTTTTATGTCGGCTATTTAACGGCATGTGCGACGGAGAAATTTCCCGTCCAACGGGACGGGTGTTAGAATCGTCTTAGATATAACCTGGGATCCGAATGCCGAGTGTGAAATTAATGGACGAACGTCGATCGATATCCCACTTTAAGCCTGGATCTCGTCTTATCGATAGAGACCTTACAATATTCCGATAGTTTCCGGTCTGTAAGAAACCTTAAAGAAATCGAAGAAAACTATTAACTGTTTCCTTTATTCCTACTCGATTCCGTCGAGATATAAGAAACATTAAAAACATTCTTATTCTGTTACGTTGCTACTATTTATCGCATTATGGCATTGTGTAATCCAGTTTCTGGTTTAATTCTCTTGTTCTTATTTGCATTTTGTTTTAGTTTTAGAACGAATCGAAAAAGTCTTACTATTTTCCGTCCTATATTGCAAGATTGTACCTAATTTGAATTAATGAATTTATTGTATGTATCCATTAAAAAAAGCACACTAAATATTTCTATCGATAAATTGTCAATTTCTTTTGTTCGCCCGTCCTTTTCTTCTTACAGTAGCCACAGTAAGTGACGTATTTTTCGCTAAAATCGGACGCAATTATAATAGTGACAACTTACTTTAAACGAAACAGTTATATTTACGTTTTAAGCAAAGACTTATTCGATCGAGCAAATGTCTGTCGTTTCTTTCCTTCGCTGGATACCGACCGACTTTTCCGCCACACCCTCGGAACAGTCTACAGTATTCTGTTCCCTTTGATCGCAATACATTTACATAAAGTGTTGTTTTAGCCTCTTGTGAGCACAAAAAGTAATCGCTTATTTCAAAATAAACGTAGTCGTTGACGTCATAATTTTAATCGATGAGTACAATCTGTCCTTTCCAGAAGTGGCCAATATCCGGGATCTTTAATTTCGGTTACGTCGTGACAATAGTTCCAAAAGAGTTTATATAGTAAGGTGAACAAAATCATAGAACACGGCTATTGATCGGTGCGATCGATACCGTGCAGAAGGGAGGAAAGCGCAACGTTTGGTAAATATTCAGAAGAATATCCGTTAAAAAGCGACGGATTACAAATAGGAAACCCATAAGCGACCGGACGAAAGTTTGCAGTCTTCGTTTTATGAATTACGGTAGTGGTTCGGTGTTATGAATCGGTGTTCAACAATCTTGCTTCGAGTGTCCCGTGAAAAAGATCTTAAAGCTTTCATTGAAAATTTATTCCAATTTATACTGCAGCATATTATTTCAATGGTAGACAATTTCATGCTTCTATTTTATTCATTACAACAAAGTTTAATTAGTTTACTGCTTCGTTGTTTCGTGAGAATAATAAAAATTGAATTGTTTGTCCATTTTTGATATAAATATATTTAAAATGGATAAGGTTACGTTTATGTAATACTCCATTAAATAAAAAGTGTATAAATGGTGTTCCAAAGCTTCAGAAAGATTGAGTGCATATATATTGTGGGACATGAAACATGCGCGTCTATTTTGATGTACAGTAATGGTACTTTGTGATGTTCATTATTGTGGGAAGTCGAAAATTGTTCAGCAAGTCTTCCGAAAAGAAGAAAATTTTTGGGTCGTGTGTAATTTGTTTTTAAATACCTATGTTTCTATGACCGGGATAAAATGAGACATTTAAAACTCCAGCAACGAGTTGTGTAACTTTCCTGATCAAACTTTAAATTTGTGTATGGCGCCATCTGTTATGAGATTTTATTTTAAAAACTTTTTACATTATTAATTATTATAAAATGTCAAAAGCTTAATTTTTATGGCAGAAATCACTTTTATAAAATTAAAAAAAAATTGTAAATGCTAATAACGAGTAAAATCTTCATTAAGTCCGACCCCACTCGAAATATGACGTATAACCCCTCTATCCCATCCTCTCGAGCTTTAACCACCAAAATTTACCCCTAACACACAAACCATTTTGCAAAATTTTAGAAATTTTCGACATAACGCACAAGAGTTATTAAACTTCAAAGAGGGTGAACAAAACTGTGCCCCCATACACACACTGACATCCATCCATATATACAGAAAAAATCCCGAACTTTTTTGCATTTCTCGACATTTCAAGGTTATCAAGGCCAAGTCAAAAATGTAAAAATCTTGGGGTCATTTTTTGACCGATTGCCATACTTTTCCTCTGTTATATATAACAGAGCCGGGAAAGTAAAAATTGAGAAAAAAAATCGAGGAAAACAGTGAATTCATTGCAGCCAGGTCCGGCGGAGTCGGGTTTAGAGCGTTACTGGAATTTGGTCCAGGGATCTGTCAAAAGTTTCTGATTTAATAGGGCATTATGTCATATTTTAGTCTGTACTACCAATGAAACACCGAAGGTGCAAAGTGACTACCAATGGATATTCATGTGTTTTCTTTGTCTCTGTATTCATGTACTGATTTATCCCATAAACAAAGGCTCTGTTGCACATCTTCAATAATTTGTTTGCCATTTTCGAAATGCTTTGTCTCGGAGACTAGTAGTCAATAGAAAACAATTGGATAACGGATAATGACGTCGATTTCCATCAAGGTTCAAATAGACTCACGATCTATTCGATTCATCAAACATACAGAGTTTCATGGACATGTGCAGTCATTGAATTTCACGAATAATGTCGATGGTGGTAGGCTCTAGTGGGAACCTTCTTTATCATGATATTTTTGTCTGATTTTCAAAACGTTTTTATAACTTATAATATCCAATTATTAGAAAAGACTGTTTATACGAAAATTTTATGGATATTTCAGTCAACAAAATTGCATATTTTTGTCTTCATTCAAATATTGACGAAACATTTCTTCGAGTATTTCTTTAATATTACCGTGAAAACGTTAAAACTTAGGTCTACTTGAGTTATGGACATTAAGAACTTTATCCACTTAAGAACTATTGATTTTTTCGTGTAACTGCAATTATTGATATGCAATGTAGTACTATTATAGAAGAGTTACGGGAAACTCTATTGAAGAAAGTAACAATAAGTTAGTTTAACTCAAAAACTGTTTTTCCACCCACAAAATAGCAATACATTTATAGTTCTAGTTTGTTTTACAAGAAGCGAGTCATACGTTCGGATCTCCGATTGGAACGTAACTTGGTGAGCAAGTAGACTTAAACACAAGCAGCTGTCGTGGACTCAATTTTCAAGCGTTTCCGAAAAACGGGTCTTTGAAAATTTAGCTTAGAAGACTTTGGAAGTTTCGCTTTTTGTAATGGCGATGGTGTTTTTTATAAGTATATTTTGTTTAATAGTTCAATTAATAAAGTAAGCGTTTTCCTTGTGGTGCTGATAGCGGGACAAGGGTGACTCTGATCCCCGAAATGGGGAAATGATGACGATCTAATGAAAAAGAAAAAAAAAATGGCGATGGTGAGTGGACAAGACTCTAAGTACTAGACCAATAGACTGTAGATTCGAACCTTTGCACTTTTGTTTGTGTTTTTCTTTTTACATGTAACAAAATTATTCTGTTATTTTACCATATCATTAGCATTATTGCTACTATTATTATTCCTCACGTTTAAAGTTTATAAAACAAGAGATTAAAAGATTCTAGTCAGTTTATTGATTTAAGTTTCAACTCTAACAAGTGAAAATTCTCTGAACAAATTAACAAACAATATATCTTCCAGAACGTTTTTATTTTGATAACTTTGTAAGTGGGTCATAAGTGGAGAATAGAATATTCCGTTAAATAATCAATTGTTATATGTGCAGTCTGTAGTATTGCTGTTAACAATTTTAATAGCAAATGTGTACAATGAAGAGATTAAAAGGAATAATTGTTTATTTTGTTGTTATGTTTTTAATTTAAAAATATTAATCATTTAAATTAACATTAATCATATAAAGTTATAAATTAGATGTTGTTTCTGAAATTAATGATTTTTTTAAAGGAATTTCTTTTGTTCTAAGAAATAACTGAAAAATTTTTGATATAATTGAATGGCTCAGAACTGGAATTAGACTTGGGCCTTAAGCCCTAACTTGTGAGATGCCTTCTACCAAATAATTTTAATTTAAGCCATAAATTATGGCTTGTGCTTTTATGTGTAGATTTGGTCATGGCAAATTATTATAGTAGCCATTTTAAGTATTCAGTTCATTAAAACAGGAGAAAACAGCTTTTGCTCAGACTTTCCACCATTTCTGTTTGAAATTTGGAACACAAACACAGTTTCAGATAAAAAAAAAAATAAATATAATATATATAAGGGAAATTGTTCTTACACGTGGGTTGAAAGCTGAAGCAAAGAATGGGAAGAAGATATACTATGGCCTGAATTGCATGTCAAATACGACAGATTAAAAATTCAAAAAAACAGGGAGAGAAAAATATATTGTAAAGTTGTATGAACAGCTGAATTCATATCAATGAAAAAGCCTTGATGGCATGGTTTTTACATGGAAGTAATTCATTTTCGCTGCAAATAATCTCCATTCTGGTTATCGTATCTGTCACGCTACTATATAAACGATTCAATTCGAACTTCTCTTGTATACAATGATTTCGCCCATCCTCTTCATCTTCCTTACAGGTAAATTTTTTGACGTTTCTTATAATATAACGTTGATTAATTCTGACGAATAAAGTTTACTTTGTATTTTAAATACATTTTACGTGACAAAATTTGTCATTTAAGTATTAGAAAACTCGATTCAATTAATATTTTTATGTAAATTTGATTTTTTTGTCTTTACTTTTAGCTAAAAGGAATATTAATTTTTCATTTGTTTTAAGGTGTAATACTTTTAGAATATTTTTATATATTATTTAGATAATTTTTAAATACCGGTTCATCGCAATGAGGAGATAGATATTCTAATGTTAATCATAATATCTTTACCGAGCTCAAAGTAATATAAAATTATGTATAGTATTTACTAATACTACTGATTTATTGGCCGGTTAATAGGAAATATATTTTTATACCATTCAATGTTAATGTTTATGAATCATTGCGTGTCTTGTTCGCGCTAATGACTAACCACTGTCATCAATCTGAACAAAACACGTAAGGAGTCATAACTTAACGGTAAACCTTGTACTTGTCAACCATATTCTTAATTGTTTTTTGTTAGAAAAATAATAATAAACATATATTTTTTTCAGATTTTTTTATTATATATAATTATGTATCAA